TCCTCCTGCTTCTCCCTCTCCCACTCCCCCTGCTTCTCCCTCTCCCACTCCCCCTGCTTGTGTTCCCTCTCTCGCTGTGTCTCTCTCTGTCAAAAAAAAAAAAATCTCAAATGGAGCTCTCCTGTCCCCATCTTTAGTATCTTGAACCAGAAGTAAATGCTGGCATTCTCACCTTGTAACTACAACTTCCAGACCAGCTACCCCTGCTTTGAGGCTTTTACTCTCAAGCCATGCAAACTCCATCTTCATTCCATCTCTCTAGGGATGATGGGATCTTAGAAACTTTTTAACAGCCTGCTATCATCAGTTTATGTTGCCCGGTTGTCCCCTCTGCTCTTGTCCTCACCAGAAAGATTAAAAAAAAAAAAAAAAAAACACCTCCCAGCACCGCCCTTCAACCACCCATTTCTTTGATCATATCCTGTACTTTGTTCTCTAGAACTGTTCCACCTCTGAAATCAGTAACCAAGGGATTCCACCTTCTAAACAAGACCTTCTTTTATTCCAGATTTTTTTATTCCTTTACCCTCACCAAACCTGTTCTTCAACTTCCGTGAAATCTGTAGTTGACAGTCTACGGGTTCCAAGTTTGTTCCCCTCCTCCAGCTTTACTTTCTTCCCTTTCTAAACTGGGACCTGTGATCATTTATTTCAAACTTGGTCTCATTGGCACTTTCAAGTTCATTCAGCCATTCTGTCCTTCCACATAAACCCTAAAACAGCCCTCAACCTTGGATCAGTTCCTCCCCTACATCCCTTCCCATGTTGATGTAGTTATTAGTTAACTATTGGTGCATAATAAATTATCCCAAACCTTGACTTAAAACAACAATAAGATTTTTTTTGGCTTTTCGGTTTTTTCCATTTCATACAGGTTTTGCAGTTTCTATGGGAATTAAGTTAGCTGAGTGATTCTGGCTTGAAATCTCTAAGTGGTTGCAGTCATGATGTCAGCTGGGGCAGCTGTCATCTGAAGACTGACTCTGGGGCTAAAGAAAGAATCACCTTCCCAGGTAGCTCTTTCACGTGGTTGGCACTTTAACAAGGGAAAAGGTCTGTTTTTCTGTGGACCTCCCTATAAGGCTGCTTGAGCATCCTCACAGTATCGTGGCTGGCTCCCCCTAGAGCAAGTGAGGGGTTAGAGCAGTGTGGAAGCTATAATGTTGCAATGTGCCTGCCCATCTGTGTGTGGACGAAATCAGATTTTAGGAATTTGTACAAAGCAAATCTAGAACAACTTGATGGAAGTAAATTGAAATAATATTAAGTAGCATTTATTGAAGTCCAATTATAGAAAGAGCACCCATGTGCATTACTTCATTTAAACCTCACAACATTCCCATGACATAGTAATCATTGTCCATTTCATAGCTGAGGAAACCAGGACCTAGAGAGAAAAGTAATTTGTGCAATGTCAGATATCACCGGAAGACTCTTCCCAAGAACACACAAGAATTCTGGTTATCTGTGGTTGCATATCAAACCATTGCTGTAGCTTAAACTATTTCGCTGACAAATCTTCATTTTGGTAGGGCTTAGTGGAGACAGTTCATCTCTCCTCCTCTGATGTCCACTGAGGCAGCTTGGCACCTAAGATCTAGAATCATCTGAGGTCTCATTCATTCATATGACCAGCAATTGACATTGCCTGGAATTTTTGTTGGGATTATCAGCAGAGACATCCATATGTAGCATCTCCATGTGGCCTAGGCTTCCTTGCAACATGTGGCAAAATTCCAAGGGGAAGTGACTGGAGAGAAAGAGACAAAACTATGGAAGTTTTTATGATCAAACTATGGAAGTCATGTCACTATTTGTGCCATACTCTTGATTGGAATAGTCAAGCCCACCCAGGTTCAAGGGGAAGGGAATTAGATTCCATTTCCTAATGGAAGAGTGGTGGAGTTCTGAAAGAACACATGGAACCAGAAATACTGCTGTGGCC